ACTTGGCTTACATTTTCTTTCCAGAGCTGCTGCAATTTGCCTTATCTCTCTAGGTTCTTTTCTTCTGAGATAGGCTGTAGAGCGAGACCCTCTTTATTGCTGTCTTCTCTCCCTGCAAAAACAACCCACTAACAAGCCAAATCAACAAACAAAACTTTTTTGCTTTGCGAGTCCTGGGGCTTGAACTCTGGGCCTGGGCGCTGTCCTTCAGCTCTTCAGCTCAAGGCTAGTGCTCTACCATGTGAGCCACTTTCGATTTTACAGGTGTGAGCCACAGGTACCTGGCCTCAAAACTTTTCTTTTTTTTTGTGCAGGTCCTAGGGCTTGAACTTAGGGCCTAGGCTCTGTCCCTGAGACTCTCTGTGCTCAAGACTAGAACTCTACCACTTGAGCCACAGCACCACTTTGGCTTTTCTGTTTATATGGTACTGAGGAATTGAACCCAGGGCTTCATGAATGCTAGGCAAGCACTCTACCACTAAGCCACATTCCTAGACCAAAATATATATATTTTTAATGTAACTTTTCTTGTATTCTGGGTTATGTTGCTCTGTAGAAATGGTAGTAGGTGGTCAAGAATCTTTAATGAAAGGACTTCCCTTTTTCCCCTCAGCCTCTGTCCATCTGTCTGCCTTTTAACACTGGAAAATATTTTGTGTACACCAACACTAGGGCTTGAATTCAGGGCCTGAGCATTGTTCCTTAGCATTTTTGCTTGATGCTGGCACTATGCCACTTGAACCATGCCTCTACTTCTGGCTTTTTGTTGGTTGACTGGAGATAATAGTCTTATGGAAGTTAGGTACTGTGTGGCTCATACCTGTAATCCTACTCAGGAGGCTGAGATCTGAGGATCTCAGTTCAAAGCCAGCCTGGGAAGGAAAGTCTGTGAGACTTTTATCTCCAATTAACTACCAGAAAACAGGAAGTGGAGCTGTGGCTCAAAGTGGTAGAGGTAGCCTTGAGTAAAAGAGCTCAGAGTCAGCACCCAGGACCTGAGTTCAAGCCCCACAACTGACAAAGTCTCATGGATTTCCTGCCCATGCTTGGTTTGAACCTGAATCATCAGATCTCAGCCTCTTCAGTAGGTAGAATTACAGGCATGAGCCACCTGTATCCAACTGGGAAAAACTTTTTTTTGGAAAAAATTTTAAACTATGGTTGTAGATGGTGGTGGCAGGACATCTCTTTTTCCCCCTCTAAAGTCCCTATAGAATAAAATTAATTTTATTAATTTATGGAGAATTTTCCATCCACCGGATCAAAGCTGAGAAGAACAGGCTAATCCTAAAGCAATTGTTCATAATTTAGGTCAGAACACTTGGAAAACTCAAAACAATGGCATCTTTCATAAGAAAATTCCCATGCCCACACAGTTATGCATGTAATTCTAGGGTTTATGGACACCAAGTTGAATATCTCAAAGGACCTTTTTTTTTTTTTGGTTACTGGGATTGGACATAGGACCTGGCACTTGCTAGACAATTGCTTTACCACTTGAACCATGGCCCTTAACTCTAGAAAAGCATTATAATTTGACAAGTCTCTTAACAGATAAGATCATTTTACATTCTTCCTATCCCCACAGCTCCTGCCTGAAGAGTCATTAAGTATCTTTTATCAAGAATGTCATAAACAAGCCACACAGGGCTTCAAGCTCCACATGCCACGGGGCCGATACTGGAGACTCCATCTCTGTCCTGGTAACTTCTCATTACAGTGACTCCTTTCCAGGGAGGGAGGAGAGTAAGAGTGACCCAACCTCTCCAAATCCTGGCTCCACATTACTGTCTCCATCCTTGACCTTACCTTCTGTGCCCTCCCCTCCTGATAGCCAACTCTCTTCTCCCAAACCCTCCATAGCCTCACTTCCTGTCCTTTTTCTTCTCTCACTCCAGAACTTCCCAGTGCTCCTAGTGAGTATGCTGGGGTGGTGGTCCGCTCTGTACTGGAACCTATATTGCAAGGATTGCAGGGATTGCCGCCACAAGCCCAGGCTCCTGTCCTCAGTCATGCACTGACAGCCATACTGGGTGCTTGGCTTGACTACATCCTCACCCATGGGATCCGGTTCAGGTGGGGAGAAAAGAGGAATGAATGAAACTGGAAAATGGGAGGGGATATGGAGGTTTGGAGGCCAGAGGCAGGTGGTCACATTGTACTTGGAAATTCAGCCTGCAGGGGGCACTGCAGCTCAAACAAGACTTTGGAGTGGTCAAGGAGTTGCTAGAAGAGGAGCAGTGGGGCCTGTCTCTGGAGCTTCGCCAGACTCTGCTCATGCTTGGCATCTTCCAGCAGCTAGATGGGGCGCTGCTGTGTCTTTTACAGCAGCCCCTGCCCAAGAATAGAGTCCACAGGAGGCACTCCTGTTGCTGTGAGTCATCTCCCCAGTCCACATTCTCCTCACCCCTCTTTCACTGCTTTAAGTAACCCACAGCCCAGACTCATCACTGCTCTGTCTTTAGCACTTAATCTATCAGCCATCTGCTTTCCACTCCTCCCTTACCAGGTGTTTGTCATGAGGTCCAGACGACAGAATTGCCCCACAGCAGCCTCAACAGTCTGGAGAGCTTGGAGCCCCCTCTTCGGCTTGGAGCACCCACAGCCCATACAACTCAGCTATTAAGCAACTTGGGAGGAAGGGGACCTAACCCTGAGGTTTACCTGGTGGGAAATCAGCAGGCTTGGCTCGCCCTGAGGCACCACCAGCACCCTCGTTGGCACCTGCCTTTTCTTTCCTGCCTGGGAACCAGTGTGGAATCCTAACAAGCCTAGGTCCAAAAGTTCCACATCCTGGCTGGAAAAGCCCAGATATATGGAACTGAAGGACTCTAGAATTGGGAGCATGGAAGAAAGCATACGTAAACTACACAGAATCTAGACTTTTAAGAACGTACAATCCAGAGTAAAAGGCAAAACCATAACCTGGAACCTGAAAGGTCAGCATCTTTGGGAGGCTCAAACCTGGTTTCCCCTCAATGACAGCATCTCAGAGCAAGAAGTGGGAGGAGGGATAGAAGGTTGGATCTTAGGAGACAAAGAAAAAGGGGAAAATGAATAAAAACTAGAGAGGCCAAATAGTGCTTTCTCTTAAGTCCTAAGAGCCAGGCTAAAAAGTGAATTTGTGGGGAACTACACAGGTGGAATAAGCAAATAAGGAATACACGTAGAACAGTCTCCAGGCCTGTCTTATCCTAGTACTGCCCTTCTCATTATTTATTATTTTTAATTGAGTATTAGGAGCTGGGCGCTGGTGGCTCATGCCTGTAATCCTAGCTATTCAGGAGGCTGAGATCTGAGGATCACAGTTCAAAGCCCCCAGGCAGGAAAGTCTGTAGACTCTTAATCTCCAGTTCACCACCAGAAAAATGGATGTGGTGTTGTGGTTCAAGTGGTAGAGTGCTCACCTTGAGCTGAAGAGCTGAGGGACAGCGCCCATGCCCAGAGTTCAAGCCCCATGACCAACCAAAAAGAATATTGGGCTGGGGGCATTGCTCAATTCTTAACAAATACTAGGCCCTGAGTTCAAATCCTCTTATCAGAATAATCATCATCACTAAAAAAAAATTAGACTGGAGCTGGGCACTAGTGATTCACACCTGTAATCGTAGCTACTCAGGAGGCTGAGACCTGAGGATTGAGGTTCAAAGCCAGCTCAAGCAGGAAAAGTCTAATTATTTCTTAATTAACCAGCAGATACCTGGAAGTTGGCCTGGCACCGGTGGCTCATACTTGTACTCTATGTTTGTAATCCTAGCTATTCAAGAGGCTGAGGTCTTATCTCCAATTAACCACCAGAAAACCAGAAGTGCAGCTGAGGCTCAAAGTGGTAGACAGCCATGAGTCCAGGACGGGGTGGGGAGGGGTTGGGAGACAAAAAACTGGAAGTGGAGATGCGGCCAGCCTGAGTGAAAAAGCCAAGCAAAGAGCACTAGGTTCTGAGTTCAGTCTCCAGCACCAGGACACACACACAAAATATATTGGACTGGGCTAGGGGTGTGACTCAAGTGATAAGACGATTTGCCTGTCATGCCTATCAAGGCCCTGGGTTCAGTCCGCAATACAGAAAAAACAATGGACAGAGCCTGGCTCAGGTGCGTGTTTATTAGCACGTGAAAAGCCCTGCGGTCAACGCCCATTCATATGTGCATATTTCGGATGTAGGGCTTTCACGTTTGGTTATTCATTCAGTTACTGGACTGGAGTTTTCCTCCTAGTCGGTGAATAATCTTTGCTGTGATACTGCCATTTTCTTGGAAGGATCCAGGATTTATGAAGGTGTTAACCTAGATCTGACAGAGGAAGGGAAATGTTGCTCAAGACAGGTTTGCATTATTTGTTCTCATCGCGGTGGTCCAAGTATCATAATGATATTCCTACCGGGCGCCGGTGGCTCAGGCCCGTAATCCTAGCTACTCTGGAGGCTGAGATCTGAGGATCGCGGTTCAAAGCCAGCCCGGGCAAGAAAATCCGTGAGACTCTTTTTTTGTTTTTGTTTTTTGTTTTTGGGTCCATTCGTGGGGCCTGAACTCTGGGCCTGAGCGCTGTCCCTCAGCTCTTCAGCTCAAGGCTAGCACTCTACCACTTAAGCCATAGCACCACTTCCAGCTTTTTTCTTATGTGGTGCTGGGGAATCGAACCCAGGGCCTCAGGCATGCAAGGCAAGCGCTCTACCACTGAGCCACCTTCCCAGTCCCGTCCGTGAGACTCTTATCTCCAGTTAACCACTAGAAAACCGGAAGTGGTGCTGTGGCTCAAGCGGTAGAGCGCAGGGACAGCGCCCAGGCTGGGTTCAAACCCCACGACGACCACCACCACCACCAAAACACTCCTGACTGCTTAGATGGCGCTCCTCCATGCTCTGTGAGAAAATGACTTCTCCCTCCCCGCCCTCTTCCTGTTCGCTCTGCCCGTGTGAAGGCCGGACCGGCAGGTCACTGCCAGCGGGGCACCGGAGAGGCCGCGTTTCTCCGCGGTGGTGGGAGGCCAAGCTCACGCCTACCGTTCTGTCCGGGGGGCACTTCCGCCCGCGCGAGTCTTTCCGGGGCGGAGGTCAATCATGGCGGCGGCCATGGCTCGGCTCGGGCTCCGGTGCGTCAAGCAGGTTCGAGTTCAGTTCTGCCCCTTCGAGAAGAACGTGGAGTCGACGAGGTAGGCGCCGGGGGAGCGGGCGGGCTAGCGGGCGGGGCGCTGGCGGCGGCCGGGCGCCCGCTGAGCCGGGCCCGGCGCGGTCCCCGCCTAGGGCCTTCCTGCAGGCGGTGAGCAGCGAGCGGGTCCGCGCCACCAACCTCAACTGCCAGGTGTCGGCGGACGTGCGGCACGACGGCTCCGAGCCCTGCGTGGACGTGCTGTTCGGTGGGTGAGCGTGAAGCCGCGGCGGGGGGCGGCAGCCCACCCCGCTGCACCCCGCCGCCCGGCTCACGGTGGGACGAACCTTCCCCCAGGAGACGGGCACCGCCTCATCCTGCGTGGCGCCCACCTCACCGCCCAGGAGATGTTCACGGCCTTCGCCTCCCACGTCCAGGCCAGGAGCGCGGAGGACGGCGCGGACAAGCCAGGCGGGCGCTGACGGCCCCGAGGACAAGCCCTTTGTAACCTGGGACCAGGACGGTGCTAGGAGGGTGATCTCAGAAGACCTGGTCTTAGTTGTTCATCCCTATTCCGGTCACCGTCTGGAGGGCTCCGGAAGTGTGTGGGGTGGGGTGGGGGCGTGCCTCTCCTCGACACTGCGTTTTGGCCCCTTCAGGACGAGGGCAGAGGGAGGGGAGGACCCGTCTGGACGAACTAGATTTTTTTTTTCCCCCACTTTACCGAATTTGGCTTCTTCCACCCATCACCTTTTAATGTTGCTTACAAAAACAAAACAAAACACAAAAACCTGTGCTGTTTCCTATTTTAGTAGTTTTTCCTACTCTTAATTTGCCCACTCTGGTTTTTCTTAACCATAATCTGTGAGTTAAACCCTAACATTTCTGTTTGGTTCTAACCTCAGCTTCTATGGTACTACCAGCTTTTACCAAATACCAACAACGGTCTTTGTCAAAAATAGCGTTATCTTACATCATTTCTCCCATTCCTTTCAAAGACAGCTAATCTGCTCAGCCACCTTTGCTGATAAACACAGTATTACCTTATTCTGCCTTCTTCCTTGCCCCTCATGTCCAGTCTTTATAAAAATGCTCCTCAGATGATCTCTCCATTCCCATTCATTCTGAGTATCACTGTTGCAGCGTCATGACTGTCCTCTTTTATGTATTGGTGCTGCTAAATTTATCTTCCCAAAGTGCATGACTCTGCTTATCTCCCACCACTGTTTCAGAAAATGCTGGCTGAAATAAATTTTCATACTGGGTTAACATCTATTATAGTGATTGTGAGATCAGTTTATATCAGAGCCATTTAAAAAGGAAAGAAAAGAAATAAAGAGTATCAAGTTAAGTCATGTAGAATGGGAAGCATTCTACTCCCCCCCTAATAAATTTTTCTTTTTTGTTTTTGTTTATTAAGTTCTGTACAGAAGGGTTACAATTCCATAAGTCAGGTTATGAGTATACTACTTCTTAGACTGGAGAGAGTGAAGGAATGGAAGATTAAAAAAAAAACTTCTTAGACAATGTCAGTCCTTGATTCTTCCTCTTTTGTGCCTACCCACAAATTACATAGTTCATTTTTTACACGGTGTACATTGAATACAGTGTATATTTGCTCACTGTCCCTTTCCATTTCCTACTATTCTTTTTTTTTTGGGGGGGAGGTCCGGTTGTGGGGCCTGAACTCTGGGCCTGGGCGCTGCCCCTCAGCTCTTCAGCTCAAGGCTAGCACTCTACCACTTGAGTCACAGTGCCACTTCCGGCTTTTTTCTTTTTGCTTATGTGGTGCTGGGGAACGGAACCCAGGGCCTCATGCATGCAAGGCAAGCGCTCTACCACTGAGCCACCTTCCCAGCTCCCCCTACTATTCTTTCAATAAAACAGTACTTTAGTAGTTCAGAGGATATACCTTTGGATAGGAAACTAAGCTGTGTGTGTATGTGCATGTGCTCACACACATTCAGATTCTAATAGTACTCATGATTTCTTATTGTGAGTTATAGGGGGAAAAGCTGCTACTACAGACTTTATTATGCTCTATTAAGGCAATCAAAGATCTCTTAGAGGCTGGGAATATGGCTTAGTGGTAGAGTGCTTGGCCTGGCATTCATGTAGTCCTGGATTCCATTCCTTAGTACCACATAAACAGAAAAAGCCATAGGTGGCGCTGTGGCTCAAGTGGTAGAGTGCTAGCCTTGAGCAAAAGAAGTTTAAGGATAGTGTCCAGGCCCTGAGTTCAAGCCCCAGGACTGGCAGAAAAATCTCTTAGAGACAGGTATATAGTTTGCAAAATTTCATATGACCCTCCATAACATTACTATGATCTCTGTCCACAAGGGTGTCTGTCTACCTACCCAACTTTACCCTTCCTACAGCAAACAAACAAACAAAAAAACTTCCTGGAGTCAATAAAGAGCCAGGCTGCCATGATTTGAAAACTTGGTTCTGCTCTAAGTAGCTTTGTAAAAATTACCAGTGACTGCTTACTTATTCACTGAATAAGGATAATATTACTGCCCTCTGTATCCATCAATTCTGTATTTTTGGGCTCAATCAACCGTGAATTAAAAATGTTCTAGAAAAGTAATTGCATCTGAACTGAACACTACAAACTTTTTCTTGTCACTAGTCCCTCAACAGTACTTAACAGTGAAACGGCGATTTATACAGCATTTACCTTGTATAGTGAAAAAGTGATCTAGAGATGAGTCAAAGCATACAAAAGGAAATGGGTAAGTTTTAGGCAAATAATGTGACATTTTAAAGTGAGTGTGGTAGCAAGGGTCTGTAACCCACCCCCGAGGAGGCTGAAGTTGGAGGATAATGAGTTCCATGGCAGTCTGTGATACAAACAAGACACATGTGTCCAAAAATAAAGTATTGTGACTGTTTTACAAGGGATTTGGGCAGGGCTCAATCTATAGGGACTTAACAGCAGTCCTAGAACTAAATCTTGGACTATTTCAGGGGATGACTGCCTGCATTTAGGTCTGAGAATTTAACAAGTTAATACCTGTAAAATGTCTACAACAGTACTGGGAAGATAGATAACTTTTCTTTTTCCTTTTTCTTTTTGGTCAGTCATGGGGCTTGAACTGGGGGTCTGGGTGTTGTCCTTGAGCATTTTTGCTTAAGGCTACTGCTCTACCACTTGGAGCCACAGGTCCACTTCTGGTTTTTAGGTGTTTTAATTGGAGATAAGGGTCTTGGACTTTCTTGCCTGGGCTTTGAACCATGATTGTCAGATCTCAGCCTCCTGAATAGCTAGGATTACAAGCACAAACCACTAGCAGCAGGTGGGAGATGACCTTTCTAAGCTGGAAAGAACACTGACAGCCTGTGTTTGACTGCTCAGTGCCATAATTAACTGGCTGTTATCTTTTTTTTTTTTTTCTGGCTGTTACCTTGAGATAGGTTGTTTTTTTTTCCCTTTAGTACTAGGAATTGAGGTGCATGAAGTGCCCTATCACTTCAGCCATGTCCCCAACGCTTTTTATGGTTTTTGTCCAGGGTTGGCATCAAACTCAAGGTTCTCCTGACTCAGCCTTTTCTGTGGTGCCGGCACTATAGATATAGACTACTACCCAGTTTTGGGCCAGTGTCAACCAGTTTTTCCTCATGGGTTGAATGCTGGCACTGTGCTTCTAAATGGTGAACTTTTAAGTTGTCGATGTTTACTCCCTGACCTCATCGTGATAACAGGTGTGTAATAAACATTTGTTGAAATTTACAGACATTTAGCATTAACCTTGCACGTTAACAGTGATTACTTTTGGACACAAAAATAAAATTCATGGGGCTTGGAAGGTGGCTCAGTGGTAGAGCGCTTGCCTTGCATTCATGGGGCCCTGGGTTCGATTCCTCAGCACCACATAAGCAGAAAAAGCTGGAAGTGGTGCTGTGGCTCAAGTGGTAGAGTGCTAGCCTTGAGTTGAAGAGCTGAGGGACAGCGCCCAGGCCCAGAGTTCAGGCCCCACGACTAATTAAAAAAATAAAATTCATGTGTGTAATAAATACCATAATAGAGATGTGGACCAGGGCTGGGAATATAGTGGAGGTAGAGCACTTGTGTAGAATGAACGAAGTTACGGGTTCAGTCCCCAGCACTGCGAAAGAAAAGAAAAGCTAACCAATTCAGCTGAACATTGGGTTTGGGCGGTATATACGCGCAAGTTTCTGGGTTCGATCCCCACTACTGCATAAAAAGGAAAATTGTAGGCCGAGTGGAGATGTGACTTCTCTCAAGTCCCAGGTAGGATGTCCACGACACAACTTGACCGGACGCCAGCCTGCAAGTACCAAGTTAGCTACTACCCAAGTCTGAGGTCTGTCCAAGTTAGCTGTGCTTGTTAGGGCACCGTTTTCTACGACCGACTGGAGCCAGCTTCTAGAACAAACAAAACGCTCGAAGTGCGGCGATGCTTCCTTCCGCTAAGCTGTCAAGTAAAAGAAGCCGAGAACTGATGAATGTAGGGACGCCCAGCCACCTCCCGCCAGTCACGGCGGTTCCGGGCTCCCGCCAGTCACGGCGGTTCCGGGCTCCGGCACTCCATCTGACGTGGAGGGGCGGGACTTCCGGGAGGAAGTCTAGTGGAGCGGGAGGCGCGGGCGCAGGTGCTGTTGACAGGACGGTGGTCGCTGGGGTGCGGGCCGCGAGCCGGAGAGGCACGGCAGGACCTGTCCACTGCCTCCTTTCGGCAGTGCCGCGACGCCGATCTCCGTGCCGGGATGGCTCGGGGCGAGCGGCGCCGCCGCGCTGCGCCGCCGGCTGAAGGAGCTCGGACAGTTGAGAGGGCGGCTCGGGGCGGTCCTGGGCGTCGGGACGGCCGGGGTGGCGGGACCCGTGGCGCGGTCCGGGGTGCGACGATGGCCGCCGTGGTCCTTGTTCTGGCCGTGGCTCTAGCTCTGTCGGGACGTTGGATGGTAGCGTGGCACCGTGCGCAGCGGGCGGTCACTCTGCACTCGGCACCCCCAGCACTGTCCCCCGACTCGTCCAGCCCCGCCGTGGCCCCGGACCTCTTCTGGGGCACCTACCGCCCTCACGTCTACTTCGGCATGAAGACTCGCAGCCCGAAGCCTCTACTCACCGGTAACCGGGCCTAAGGGCGGGCAGCCCAACCTTCCCGCCGGAATCAGGGTGGGGAGGCGTGGATCAGGAGTTATGAAGAGGGATGACCCGAAAGTTCTCGGAGTCCCAGAGGGACTGCGTTCTCTTTGACTTACACGGCCATTCTACCCCCCAGGACTGATGTGGGCGCAACAGGGCGCAACCTCAGGGACCCCTAAGCTCAGGCACACGTGTGAGCAGGGGGACGGCGTGGGTCCCTATGGCTGGGAGTTCCACGACGGCCTCTCCTTCGGGCGACAACACATCCAGGATGGGGCCTTAAGGCTCACCACTGAGTTCGTCAAGAGGCCTGGGGGTCAGCACGGAGGGGACTGGAGCTGGAGAGTGACTATAGAGCCTCAGGTCAGGGCCTCAGGTTACCCTTTCCTAAGCCCAGACTCCCTCCATCCCTCCCTTACTGCCAGAATATGCAGCCTGAAATAGGGATTGACAGCCAGGGCAACGAATCTGGCTGCCTGGATTTGGTCCTACATTATTTGTATCACATCTCTGTCTACCACCTTTTAAGTCTTAAGTTTCTTTGTTTGTAAAGCAGAGATAGTAGCATCACCACCTAACTCACAAGATTGTAAGAATTAAATGAAATCACCTGTGTCAAGTTCTTAGTACAGGACATAGCACTCCAGTACTCTCCATTCCCAGAGAGCTCTAAAACCCATTCTACTGCTTGTACCCACTTACTGAGTTGAGTGGTGGTTCTCAACACTGTCAGATATTTGTTGGTCCATGTTATTCCTGCTTGGGATCCTTTTCCCTCACTAAACCTGATTCTCAAAATAATGCCAATCAAGTTCTGTTGTTTTTTGTTCTCTTTGGTACCCTAGGCTTCAGGTACCTCTGCCTTCCCCTTGGTCTCCCTATTCTTCTATGTGGTGACAGATGGCCAGGAAGTCCTACTACCAGAGGCTGGACCCAAGGGGCAATTGAAGTTCATCAGTGGGCATTCCAATGACCTTGGTGACTTCCGATTTTCTCTTCTACCACCAACCAGTCCAGGGGACACTGCACCCAAGTATGGCAGGTAAATGGGGAACGAATGTGGTGGTAGTAGTAGGGGTGGTGTGCATGTCATCTTGGCCTGATTCTATTTCCCTACCTTCTTTTCACCAGTTTTGTCTTATCCATCTCCTTGTTTCCTATACTGCCAAGGGTGCCCATCCTGACTCCTGATTACCTATTTCCCTTTATAAACCTACCCCTTCTTCCTGAATAATATTTCCTGTTTGTCTTCTTGCCTTCAAGCTACAATGTCTTCTGGTCCTCCAACCCAGGACTGCCCCTTCTGACAGACATGGTGAAGAGTCGCTTAAATAGCTGGTTTCAGCATCGGCCCCCAGGGGCTTCTCCTGAACGTTACCTTGGCTTGCCTGGATCTCTGAAGTGGGAGGACAGAGGCCCAAGCGGACAAGGGCAGGGACAAGGGCAATTCTTGATACAGCAGGTTACACTGAAAGTCCCATTTTCTGTGGAATTTGTGTTTGAATCGGGCAGTGCCCGGGCAGGAAGAAACCAAGCCCTGGGGCAGCTGGCAGGTACCCTACTGACCCAGGCCCTAGAGAATCATGCTAAAGCCTTCCAGGAGCACTTTGAGAAGATCTTCCAGCTAAAGGAGAAAGGCCTGACCCCTGAGGAGCTGACCTTGGGTCAGGTTGCCCTCAGTGGCCTTCTTGGTGGGATTGGTTACTTCTATGGGCAGAGTCTGGTACTGCCAGACATGGGGGTGGAAGGATCAGAGCAGAAGGTGAACCCAGCCCTTTTTCCACCTGTCCCTCTTTTCTCAGGTGTACCCTCCAGGTCATTCTTCCCACGAGGCTTCCTTTGGGATGAGGGCTTTCACCAGCTAGTGGTCCAGCGGTGGGATCCACGCCTCACTCGGGAGGCCCTAGGCCACTGGCTGGGACTGCTCAATGCTGATGGCTGGATTGGGCGAGAGCAGATACTGGGCGATGAGGCCCGAGCCCGGGTGCCCCCAGAGTTCCTAGTGCAGCGGGCAGCCCATGCCAACCCTCCAACCCTGCTCTTGCCGGTAGAACACATGCTAGAAGGTGGTGACCCTGCTGACTTGGCCTTCCTCCGCAGGGCTTTCCCTCGCCTACATGCCTGGTTCTCCTGGCTCCATCAGAGCCAGGCAGGGCCAGTACCACTATCTTACCGCTGGCGGGGCCGGGACCCAGCCTTGCCTACCTTACTAAACCCCAAGACACTGCCCTCTGGGTTGGATGACTACCCCCGGGCTTCACATCCTTCAACAACAGAGCGCCACCTGGACCTAAGATGCTGGATAGCACTGGGTGCCCGTGTACTGTCACAGCTTGCAGGAAGGCTGGGGGAGGCTGAGGCCGCTGCTGAGCTGAGTCCCCTGGCCGCCTCACTGGAGGCACCGGATACACTGGATGAACTGCACTGGGCTCCAGAGCTAGGAGTCTTTGCAGACTTTGGAAACCACACAAAAGCAGTACAGCTGAAACCTAGGCCTCCTCATGGGCTGGTTCGGGTGGTGGGCCGGCCCCCACCTCGCTTGCAATATGTGGATGTCCTGGGCTATGTAACTCTTTTTCCCTTTCTGTTGCGGCTTCTAGACCCCAACTCACCCCGTCTTGGGCCCTTACTTGATGTTCTAGGTGACAGCCGCCATCTCTGGAGCCCCTTTGGACTGCGCTCCCTTGCAGCCTCTAGTTCCTTTTATGGTCAGCGCAATTCTGAGCATGACCCTCCTTATTGGCGAGGTGCTGTGTGGCTCAATGTCAACTACTTGGCCTTGGGAGCACTCCACCACTATGGGCATCTGGCTGGTCCCTTCCAGACCCAGGCTGCCAAGCTATACAGTGAGCTCCGTGCCAATGTGGTGGGCAATGTGCGGCGGCAGTACCAGGCCACAGGATTCCTATGGGAACAGTACAGTGACCGGGATGGGCGAGGCATGGGCTGCCGCCCTTTCCATGGCTGGACCAGCCTGGTCTTATTGATCATGGCTGAAGAGTACTGAAGCAGAGATGGGAGGAGAGCCCGGCCACTCATGGCATTTTGAATCTGGAGACAAGATCTGTGGCTTCTGACCCTAGTCCCTCAGATGCCAGTAATTCAAACCTTCCTTAGCTCATCTCAGGTGTCTTCTACTATCATCCCACATAGCCCTGGGGTGAATGTGAATCAAGAGTCTATTTTTCTAAATAAAGTGAAAAAAAAAAAAAAAAGCATAACCAAACTTGTTTTTACCGGTTATGACCTGTCAAAAGGCATTAGCTCAGTTCAGGCCTTGGGGCTCGCTCCCTACAGTCATAAAGGAAGGTAAGATAAATGGGCCATTATCTGTCCCTTCAAACAACCAGTCAGGTCAAATACAATTGTAATATGTTGAGTTCTAGTTCACTCAAATCCACAAATGGCTGGTTCACATCTCTTTAATGAGATTAAAGGCTCCTGTGTATGTGTTGGGGGGGTGGGTAAAGCTAGCAGTCTCCCAGTACTGCCCCCATCCCCAGGGCTCCCGCCCTTTCAGGTAGATTGTAGGAAGGACAGGAGGGGCCAAGAAGGACTTGAAAACAGGGCTGTCTGGTGGCTAAGAAACCTATCCATCCAAGACTACTTATGGTATGTCTCCATTTGAAGCCAGCCCCACAGGAGAGACCTGTAGCATGGGTTCTGGGGGCAGTGCACAAGGAGACTGGCCCTCCAGACCTGGTGGGGTGGCACTAACCCTCATCTCTTTGACTGGCTCACCTTCACCGGAGTCAGGACAAGGGCAGAGCTCAATACCTGAGTCACCAGTTAGGCGACGATAGCGGCAAGAGGGGGGGGTGTGGGCAGGGCTCACTCCTGCCCCAGGCTCACTCTCCTGATGAGGGGGAGCACTCTGGTGGGAGGAAACACCTTCCACATTTGTCCCCTCGCAGTGGGCAGGGCAGCTGGATGCAGAGGAACAGCAGGTGCATTCACTGGAAGCAGTCAAGGGGTGGCCGGGGGCCATAGTGTAAGGAGGTGGCGGTGTGCCTGGGCGATGAACCACATCCTCATAGGCTGGGGGTTTGAAGGCGCTGAGAAGGCCTGTAGAGAAGAGAACAGTATAGGCAGTGGAAGGCAACCAGGATGGGAGAGTGTCATATTAGGGGAAAAGAGGTTCCTTGAGGGCTGGGAATGTGGCTTCGCAGTAGAGTGCTTGCCTAGCTAGCATGCATGAAGTCCTTGGTTTGATTCCTCAGTACCACATAAACAGCCTGAAGTGGGGCTGTGACTCAAGTGGTAGAGTGCAAAAAGAAGCCTTTGAACTCAGGACCTGGGCACTGTCCCTGAGTTCAAGCACAAGGACTGACAAAAGAAAAAAAAAAGTGTTCCTTGAAATGTCTGCAAAAGGGAAGATGGGGTGATTCAGGATCTTGATTTGAGAAGGGATACTAGGAGTGGACCCAGAGCCTCAAGTCACTCACGAAGGTCAAGCAGTGAACTGGTGGGAACAGGGCCAGCCCCATGGCATGCCCCATGGTAGGCCAACAAGTTGATCTCACGTTGCCGCTGCTGTTGTTGCAGCCGGAGTTTAGCTCGTCGGTGGCGGAAGGCGCAACAGCAGCTAAAGAGGATGAGGACAGTCCAGAGTAGCCAGAACCCTGAAGAAGGCAAGGATAATATATCTCAGATACCTCCTAAGCAGAAAGGGATCCTTGAAGGCTGGAATTATGAGGCAGAAGGGAGGGTAGGCTGAGAAACTTGAGAATTATCACCACTCTTGGAGACTCACACCAGAGCTCATAGTAGTAAGTGCAGCAGCCAGTCTCCCCGCAGCAGTGACCACTCTCACAGAGGTAGGGCTGGTTGTTCACGCCTGGGCACAGCTCTCGAAGCTGGGGGGCAAGGAGGCACTTAGAACTAAGGGAGATTCTAGCTCAAGACACCATTCATCCCAACTCCTGCATGCACATACAAATCCCACCCTGTGAGCCAAGGTCAGCTTGGAAAGATGCCAGTCGGGGATTAATAAGGGGGTAGTCAAAAATCTTCAGGGTTGTCCATGTGGAAGAGGATTTGGACTAGAAAAAAAAATCAATCTAGAAAACAAAAATATGGACATGCAAAGAGAAAGATTTCAGTTGTGTACATCCAAGACCTGTCTCAGTCAAGCCTGTCACCCTAGGGTGCTTTCTGTTAAGATAGTGTGAAAATGCTTCCATCATCCCCCACAGGCTGACACACCACCCTCCCTTAGATCTTTCCACCCGTGGCTCTCAGGTACTCTAGGGCGGAGAGGCAGTGTGAGACGCAGAGCAGCGCTCCCAACCAGCTGGGATTACTGTGGGTGATAAAGCATGGCACCAAAGGCACAGGTCTGGGTGCCATCTCTTCTCCAAATTGCTCCCTTAGGAGAACATACTGCTGGACTCTGTTGTGACAATAGGCATATAGAAAAACATCAGAAATAACTGTTGCAAGACGAGGGAGGGAGCCTCACTATGTTTCTGGTCACTGGGGAGTCACTGCAAGCTTCCACTGCAGCCATGGGATGGTGTCTATGAGGCTGCAGGTAAAGTCAACTGCGTCTACATTTCAAAGTTTAGACAAAGAATGAAAGGGATATGCTTAGGAACTTCACAGTACCTTTGGCTCCGTAAGTTCCTCCCCTAACCTGCAACAGGAAGGGACAGGAAAGGGGAAAGCGAAATAAATGGCTGTCGTGATAGGCTTTTGGAGCTGTTGGGATACCTGCTGTTGCGGCGCCCGAAGTGCCCCCCAGGCCTCCTCGCTGCCGTTCCCGCTGCTGGCCCGAGCCATGCCTCCACCTACAGCCCCCTGAAGACCACAGCCTCCTCTACCGCCAGCTGCCCCGCCCCTGCCACCTCTACGGCCACCGCCATGGTCCCTGCCCGGCCCATCTTCAGTGCCGCCACCATCGCTCAGCGGCCCGAGCTTCCATCCGGGGAGAGCTCGGCCAACTAAAACCTTGGTTGCCTAGTCCAACCAATGACTACCGCTCATCGACGGACCGGCCAATAGGAGCAGAAAAGAGAGCTCTCCCTAAGACCAATCCACCGCAGCGCCTCCTCCGCTCTCCCAGACAACAAGAGCTTGCACAGACAAAGAGTGGGGGACGGCTCAACCAAAGGCCCTGACTGACAGCAACAAGAGCCAATACAGACAACAGAACGGGCCTTGACTTGTCAGCCAATGGGAGACCGTCCAGAAGAGCAAAGTTCTCGCTGATTGGCTCGAACCATATTTCCCATCCGGATGGAATAGGAGAGGTTCGGAAAAAAGTCTACCCGAGTTCGGTCTGTCGGTGGCACATCTGCTGTGGTTCTTGCCGTCGTTCCTAAGCCCCTGGGAGGGCAAGTTGTGTGTTCCCAAGATTCGTCTTCCCTTATCCCCTCTTCCCCCAATTGTGTACAAACAGGAGCGCCGGATATAATTTAATAAGTGGGAGAAGACAATGAAAACCAGACATAGACGAGGGTGTAAAGTCCAAGTTTGACTACTTAAGTAGCCAAAAGCGGGGATGCAGGGCCTTCAGGTCCCCCCAGCCGCATCTGCAGGTTGATGCGGTAGCACTGAAGACTACATAGTGCCTGGCCGGTTCGGGAGCAGGCGTAGCGGCGCGGGTGGGGGCAGCCGGGGACGGAGCAGCGTGGAGGAGGGCCCGGAGGGGGCGGCCGCTGAGACACAGCGGCGGGGGCAGGGACGCCAGGTGGGAAGGAAAGGGTGGAACCCTGTGCCCCGCTGCAGTAGCGAACCATGGGAGCCAGGGCTGCAGCGCGCCCACCCCGCCGTTCGCCCCGCGCCGTCCCCCGGCCTCCGCGGCCGCTGGGCGCCGCAGTCTTGGTGAGGCGCTCGATCGTCTGGTTCTTGTGTTCCTCGGCTCGCCGGGCGGCCTGCAGCCGCCGCTTCCGGGCCCGCTCTTCCCTCTTCAGCAACATCTCCTCGGTGAGGGCAGGGGCCGGGCAGCCCGCAGCCACCGGCAGCGGCAGCATGGGGGAAGGCTGACTCCGCGCCTTCTGGAGCAGTGCTCGCTGCAGGGAAAGTGAAGGAGGGTGTTTGAAAGTAGGAGATGAGAGTGGTGCGGCCCACCAGGGTCTCGGGAGGGGGAAAGAGGGCACATGGAGAGTAGGGTCTTGCAGCATGAGCACTGGTAGGTGAGAATTAATAAACACCCACTTTGGGGGCTCTTATTATATAGCTTCCTCCCAGGTCTCACGTTCAACTGTATCTCCTTGATTCTCAGGGAGAAGAGTTCCAAAACTCTGTATCACCTTTTCTCAAGTTTTTGTTTTTAATTAAAGAGAAGTCTTGATAGCATCAATTGAGTAACTGCACACACAAAAAAAGATACTTTTTTTCCCCAGCCAGCACTGGGGCTGGGGCTTGAACTCAGGACCTGGATGCTGGTATTTTTTGCTCAAGGCTAGTGCTTTACCACTCCAGTCACAGTTCCACTTCTAACTTTTTGGTGGTTAACTGGAAATAAGAGTCTCACAGACTGGGGCTGGGAAGGTGGCTCAGTGGTAGAGCGCTTGCCTTGCATGCATGAGGCCCTGGGTTCGAGTCCTCAGTACCACATAAGAAAAAAGCCAGAACTGGCGTTGTGACTCAGTGGTAGAGCGCTTAGCTTTGAGCTGAAGAGCTGAGGGACAGGGCCCAAGCCCAGAGTTCAGGCCCCACAACTGGACCCCCCCCCCAAAAAAAAAAAAAAAAGAATCTCACAGACTTTTACTGTTTGGCCTGGCTTCAAACCACAATCCTCAGATCTCAGTCTCCTGAGTAGCTAGGATTACAGATGTGAGCCACTAACACCAGACTCTCAGAATTATTATTATTATTATTATTGTCAGTTGTGGGGCTTGAACTCTGGGCCTGGGCCTTGTCCCTCAGCTCTTCAGCTCAAGGCTAGTGCTCTACCACTTGAGCCACAGCACCACCTCTGTTTTTTTGAGTGGTTTATTGGAGATAAGAGTCTCATGGAACTTTCTTGCCCAGGCTGGCTTTGAACCATGATCCTCTGAGTACCTAGGATTACAGGTGATAGCTACCAGTGCCCAGTTTCAGAATTATTCTTGATTACTTTTTCTTTAATCCAACCCCCACCCCTCACAACATAACCACTAACAGCTTGTGAGTGTGTGCGCACATGTGTTCACCCACAGACAGACAGACAGACGGACGGACGGACGGACGGACGGACAGACAGGGACACAACACACACACACACACACACACACACACACACACACACACACACACACGCGCGCTTGTGTGCGCGCATCTGCAACAGGATTTGAATTCAGGGCCTTGAACCTGCTTAAGTGCTCTTTTGAGCTATACCTTCAATTGGCTTCTGCCAGTTAATTGAAGTCTCTGGACTTTTCTGTCCAGGCTGCTTCAAACCTCAATCTTTGGATCACAGCCTCTTGAGCAGATAGGATTATAGGTGTGGGCCACCTATAATCCTGTCTACAATCATATCTAATGGCCAGTCTCTGGGCTTCTCTCCCATCCTCCAGTTTCTATCTCATTTTCTATATAGAAGCCATTATCTATATATTATAATCAAATATGTTATTTCTCTGCATAAAATCCATCATTGTCTTAGTCACGTTTGTTTTTTTTTTTCTCCTTCTTTACCCTGCTTTGCATGTTGTAGTTTCAGGGTTTTTATGCCTGTTGGCCTCTTTGCCTGAAAAGCTGTAGTACTGAAAATGTTTATGTTTTCAAAAAGGCATTTCCCTTAACTACTCTAATCTTTTTGCTTGCCTTTATTACCTTATTTATTTATTTATTTGTTTTTTTGCCAGTCTGGAGCTTGAACTCAGGGTATGGGCACCAGCTTCTTTTGCTCAAGGCTAGCACTCTACCATGTGAGCCACAGCACCACCTCAGGCATTTTTCTGTTTATGTGGTACTGAGGAATGAACCCAGGACTTCACGCATGATAGGCAAGCACTCTACCACTAAGCCACATTCCCAACTTACTTTCTGTCATAAACTCCACCTTTTTGAAATTGTTTATTAACTTATGGGCCACCATCCCTCCCTCAAGCACACACTAGACAAAATAGCAGATCCAAGAGAACTGAAACTGTTGAGGTCTTTCTGTTTTCCCACTGATAATCTCACTGACTAACAAAGTACTTGGGACACGGCAAGTTCTCCCTCTCATCTATACACACAAACACATACACAAATGTTAAGTGAATAAAGAACAAACCAACTTACCTGTCGAGCAGTGAGCAGCCGCTCATTAATCTCTTTCTTGAGGTCTCCATTGTCATCCAGCTCCCCTTTCTCCAGGGCATCCAGCCACCTTTGTTCCTCCTCTTCCTCTTGGCCCCCTAAACTTCCTGACAACTCCGGAAGCGGAGAGGGGGACAGATTACTGTCTTCATCTGGGAAGGAAAATAGAAAAGTTAAAAGTTGAGTTGTTCAAAGAATCCTCAAGTAGCCAGGTTAATATTGGAACATTCAGTATTACCCACTTCAAACCATCCTCCCTTCTTTTAGCCAGGTACAAGATTAACCCAGTTTTCCCACCTCCAGATCCTTCTCACCCAGCCAGGCTCGGTATTGCTCTAGGGGGACTCCTTCCATAGGTTCTTCTTCATTATCCACCACCATCAAAGGAGAGGGTGATCGAGGGCCCTCAGGGATCACAGTGAAGGTAGGAACACTGCAGAAAAGCAACTCTGTAAAGTGAGCAAATGTGTCCCCCTGCTCAGTAGCTGCAGACAGGCTTTCCAATCCTTGCTGTCTTGATCTGGGCCCTGATTATCAGTACCTACACTCTTGTCTTCTAGAAAGCCCATCCACCTTCCCCCGTCTCTCTTTATCTGCTCCTAGAAGTTCCCCAAGTAAAACCTTTTCCCAATCGGTCTCACCTCTTGGTGCCCAGGACCTGGCCACCAAGCTTGATTTTGAGTTTAAGCTGGGGCTTGACAGAAGAGGGCTGTGTCAACCCAGCGTCCTCTTCTTGATGATGTTTCTTCTTATGTTTCTTCTTGTGCTTTTTGTGTTTTTTCTTGTGCATTCCGTGGCCGTGGGCAGCAGCCAGGCTCAACTCTAATGCTTCCCCTGTGAGAGAAGAGCTTGTCAAAGGTGTCCGAGCGAACCCCGGAATTAAATACACCCCCGAGGGGTCCCACTCTTCCCGCGTTACTACCTGTTACCATAACAACAGCACTGCCTTTTTCCTCCCCACCAGTGATTAGGTGCCTAGGAAACCCGGAGGAATGAAAGAGGTTACTTTTCCAAGAAGACCTCAAGGTGATTGACCCGCACTTACCCGGCTCTGGGGCCTCCATTGCCCCAGGGGTGCTCCCGCGCCTCCACAGCTTACTCATGGGGTCTTGTAAGGAAAGGGGACTGGAAATCGTCGGGACACCTGCCGCATGCCTTTTCCGCCCCGCGGAAGAACTGACTCCAGCAAAAATAATCGGCTACTTCCGGTGCGCCGCCACCATGCTTGTGCGGGGCAGGCTTCACAGCCAAAGCCTTCCCCGGGAAACTACCATCCCGCCGACGAGAGTTCCTCCCAATGGAGCACATCGCTCCCCGCGTCCCCCAAACAGGAAGAAACGAGGCTTTCCAGATGATGTTTTTGCTGTTTTGCGTTTTATGCAATGCTGAGGCGTGTGCCCTGGATCTGGGTGCTTTCTGTTAGCTTTGTCACTCAAAGCTAGTGCTCTACTGCTTGAGCCATTGCTTCCTTCTGGGTGATTAATTGGAGATAAAAGTCTCACGGACTTTCCCAGTCCTGGGGCTGAAACTCAGGGCTTGGGCACTGGCCCTGAGCTGCTTTTGCTCAAGGCTGGCACTCTACCACAGCACCACTTCTGGCTTTTTCTGTTTATGTGGAACTGAGGAATCGAACCCAGGGCTTTATGGATACTAGGCAAGCACTCGACCACTAAGACATATTCCCAGACGTTTATTTTTTTATTCATTTTT